CTTTGGTGGGTGAGGTACCAGAAGGAGTGGACCGTTATATTCCATCTTAACACCAGATCCTAAGTTTATAAAAATATTGGAATGTGCGAAATTTTAAGACAATCGGATTCTTACATCATATTTTATAAGAGTAATAATTTTTCAAAATTTTGACCCTTTGGGGGGGAAGCACTTGATGGAGTCGACCGATATTATCCATTTTTGCACCTGACCGAGAACTAAGGCAAATATTAGGATTTGCAAAGTTGGAGCAAAATCTGATTTTTGCTTCTCTTTCTGTGCAGAAAAAATATTTTTTTTTGAAAATTTCGACCGATGTATTCCATCCTTACACCAGGCTTTGGGTTAATAAAATTATTGGGGTGTGTGAAATTTGAAGACTATCGGCCCTTTACATTACATTTTATAAGACTTGTAAATATTCAAAATGTTGACCTTCTGTGGGGGAGGTACTTAATGGAGTGGGCCGATATTGTCAATTTTCGCACCCGACCTAGCACTGATGCAAATATTAGAATTTGCAAAGTTGAAGCTAAATCGAATTATCGTTTCTCATTCTGTGCAGAAAATATATTTTCTGAAAATTTCGACCTTTTGTGGGGGAGGTACCAGAAGGTGTGGACCGTTATTGCCCATCTGCGAAGTAGATCTAATTTGACAAAAATATTACAATGTACCATGTTTGGACCAAATCGGATACTCTCTTCGACAGATAGACGGACAGACAGACATCGCTAGATCGATTTCAAATGTCTTGAAACGGATTTGGTCCAAAGAGACCTAGGTCGTTAATTCGACTAGGCACGTTTTAACCGTATAAAATTATACTCGTATATACCCTCTCTAGCCATATAGCTGAGGAAAAAATTAAGAAATATTTTCGTTTTTTTTTTTTTTTTTTTTTTTTTTTTTTGAGAACATTGATGTAAATATTTTTTTGATAAACAACAAAACTTTTATTGTTCTTTGATGACTTATAGTGAAATGTGATGAGGATTTTTTCTCTCTTTGACACTATTCTTCTGAAACGATGTTTTATAGGAGATTTTTGTATAAACTCACATAAATTACGACTTTAACACTTAAATGTGTTTTTATACCCACCACCATGGAGGACATATTAAGTTCGTCATTCCGTTTGTAACTCATGGAAATAATAACTCTAGTTTTGGTACAATTCTTACATTTAAATATCCCCTAATTTAAGCTATTTCGATGGTTTCGGCAAAATTTCCTAATCGATTTGGCTGAAATTCTATTTGTTTTATCGAGGTTAAACAAAAGAAATGTTATAAAAGATTTCGACATTACTTAAATCTCAAAATACAGATTAGAGCCACTTCGGGTGGAAAGTAGGACCAGGACCTTAAAAATTCCTAAATTCGCCGGTGTATTTTTTGTTTATTATCCTAAGGTTAATTTTTACCCTATCTGGACCTTAACTGCTAAAGAAGAGCCAATTCGGAAACCTAAAATATTCCAAATGCCGAATTTGAGTCCGCATTATCGAAAATGAGAGGGTCCGGTTTATTCTCCAACAAGCAAATATTTATGTAGTCCAATTTTAAAACCAATGATCTTAAAAAAACTGTAAAAGTCTATTCCTAAATATTGTTAACTCTCTTCTGATGTCAACAAGGTTGACTAAAATTTAGAGAACGCCAACTCTGTACCATTATTCTATGACTTATTTAAAAATATGCATGCAATATGCATGAACAGAAATGCACTATCTTTGCATTGCAATATTTTGCCAATGTCACAAACACAAAACATTAGAAAGCTGTTAAGCTTCACGCATAGCTATTTGCTTTACTTTCCTTGAACTCATTTCGTAGCATTTTCCATATATGACCAATTATTAAGAAAGTGCAAAAAATGCAAAAAAAGCAACAACATAAAATCGAGGTAAAAGTGCATTAAAATTATTATGGCAATCGTCATTGCCAAATATGTACGATGAATAACGGCGCACTTAAAACCTCAAACAAAAACGCGCCATGGGTGGTAATTATACATGCCGCAAAGCGTTAAAAATTTGTAGCATACTTTGGGGCTTCAGCAAATGATGGTCATTTCAAAGTGGTGGAAATGGGAAATTAATAAAAAGCGAATTCAAACAATACACCACGACAAGAACACAAAAATTACTCACCACCACCTCTTTTTTACGGTACATGCGAATCATACGATACACATACATTGCTATACGATATATCGCCCTCTATGCGTTGCTCTTCGATTTACTTACGTTATATTCTGACATTTTCTACGATATCACGTATTCCGGCATAATACACAAACCGGAAAATAGAGAGCCGAAGTGGCAGCAATGCCGACCGCAAAAAATGAGTGGCGCTAAATGGGGTGTAACACCGAGAGATACACAGATGAAGAAGAACATAAACAACATCAACGTACACGATTTGTGACGAATGCGTTCGTATGCTTTTGTTTGCCCATTTATGTTATTTTGTATTTTTGATATTGTTTTTTCCCTGGTTGTTTTTGTTTATTTGGCATGTGCTCTGCTCGACTCCAAAACATTGCAACCACCATTTACGCCACCCACTGCTACCGAAATAAATATTGGCAGTAGGGTTGCCATTACTCACAATTGTCGTTGTTGTATAAAATAAATAATTCTACCAAAGAAAAAATGTAATATAGTTGAGTCTATTTATCCGTATCGGTAAGGATTAATAGATTTTTTTGAATGTATGTCAAAATTAATATGTTCCATGCGACTTTAAGTTTTTGCGCTAACTCTGCATATATTTGTTTCTTATGACTGAATTTAAAGTCCTCTTATGTCATTGCTTGAATTTATTCTTCTTCTATTTATTGAATCGAAATTGTGAAAGAAAGATGTGTGAGACAACTATAACGACTTTAGTTATAACCATGGTATAATTAAGAAAGTATTTTTTTCAAAATTATTAATTTGACAACATTGCATTGTCATAAATTTTGACAAATTCATTGGATACACATATCAGAGAGGGAACCCGTTCTTATGCAGTGAAATTTGACAGGTTGAGTTACAGAAAATGCAGAGATGCTTATTTGAAATGATTACAATTACAAAAAGAATACCAATATTAGTAAGAAATCGGAAGGAAAAATACATATATGTTGCCATACTGTTTTAATAGATATTAAAATATTTCTGGAATCCCATTATTTTTCAAGAAATCTGTAAGAGCACGGTTTCTAACGCTATTGTATTGTTTCATCTAATTATTCTAAATCCTAAAAAGTCTAGTGTTCTTTACTTTGGTTAGATATTTGTATTATGTCAGCATCCGACCTGGCTGGAGCGCACGAAAACTCTCTAAGGGAGTATCCGATTTGGTCCAAACATCGCAAATCGTAATATTATTTTGAAACTTAGATCGGGTTCAGAGGTGGACAACATCGGTCCACTCTGTCTGGTACCTCGACCACAAAAGGTCAAAAATTTCCAAAAAAATATTTCACTGCACAGAAAGAGAAAGGATAATCCGATATTTGCATCAGTGCTAGGTGAGGTACAAAGTGGACAACTTGGGTGCACTTCATCCAGTACCTCCCCACAAAGGATCAAATTTTGAAATAATTATAACTCTTATAAAATCCGATTTAAGATTACGACTGTCTCCAAATTACACACATCACAATATTTTATTAAACCATGGTTTGGTGTGAAAATGGCATATATCGGTCCAATCCTTCTGGTACCTCCCCCATTTTTGAATATCAATGAAGTTCAAAAAACGCGAAATACGCATCCGATTCCATTCAGACTTGGTACATCTCAATATCTTCATCAGCACAAAATCTGTTATGAAGATGGTAAATATCGGACCATTCCTTCTGGTACTTTCCACACAAAGGGTCAAAGTTTTGAATAACCCAAAAGATCATGAAATCCGAAATAAGCATATGGTTCCCTTTAAATTACACACATCACAAACTTTTTATTTAACCAAGGTCTAGTGTTAAGATGGGATACCTCGACTCCTTCTGGTACCTCCCCCAGAAAGAGTTAAATTTTTGAATATCCACGAAGCTCATAAAACGCGAATTTAACATCCGATTCCATTCAGACTTGACACATCTCAATATTTCTATCAACACAAGATCTGTTATAGAAATGGTAGAGATCGGACCATTCCTTCTGGTACCTTCCTCACAAAGGGTCAAAGTTTTGACTAAGCAAAACAAATATTAAATCCGAAATAATCATCCATTTTGCAATGCTTGTTACTTATTTTCACTTCAAAATTGACAATTCAGCTTATTTGCGTACCCACTGAGACTAAAATGATCGTAAAATAAAAAGATGCGCTATGAACACTCTTAACAGACCAGTCATTTTGTTAATAATTGCTCCGTTGCAGAACCTGCAAGAATCTAAAATTTTTCTTTCTTTTTCGTTATCATAAAGAAAGATTCGGTTATCGCAGTAAAAACTTGTATATCCTTGCATTTCTGGAATAGATTTGCAAGCGTTGTTCGTTTGTAAGACGCTTTTGGTAAAATATAAAAACTACTACCCTTCACACCTATTTTAATGGTCGTTTTATTTTCTGGGATTTGGATTTTAGTTTTTTTCCGAATCTTCTAAAAAAATCTCTGCTGGGTATTTTTTTTAGTCAAATCGGCTGACAATTCCAATTGGACCTTCCTTTCTCTCATATCCCGTACTTGCACATCCCAGTTTTTCTTTCAAACTTGGCAACCCTATTGTCTAATGTTTTGGAGTTGAGTGCGTCGTTTGATGTTTGTTGTTGTTTGTGTTGTCTGATGATGTTACATTACGATATGCGGCATAATACGATAAATGTGACGATAGGACAGCAACACGGAGCTGCGCTGCCCACCGCAGCAACAGCTGCGTCAATACGAGTGTTTGGTTGATGGTCTGCTCATGTTGGCTTCCATAATACTATGCGACGCTTTACGCTCGGCTGCTTAGCTGACTGACTGCCTGAATGGATGGCTGGCTGGCTTGTTGGCTGTCTGCTTGATTCTGCTATAACTTTGGCTTGCTGGCTATCTGTTAGCTGTTATTCCAATCAGTCTGAATCGAATTGTTGTGAACGATGGAAGAAGCCAAATAATACGTTTGAGATATTCCAAAATAAAAGAAAGCAAAGCAAAAAGAAGCGAAGAAGAAGAAGAAAGAAATAAGTCCCGTCTAGAAGAGAGTGTGACACTGCAGTAAAAATCATTAGATTGAGATTCGAATCAAATCGGTGTCCGAAACAGAGTTTAAATGCGGATGTGAGTGTGAGTGTTCGTTTTGGCACGAGTGTTAGCTGGAGGTGTTTTTTACGGTGTGCGAAAGAAAAGTGCAAAATCCCCCCACACAAAAAAAGGAAGTTGGCGAAATTTTTCCTCGGAAATTTTTCCTTGAGAAATTCGGCTAAACAGCAACGGGAAGAAGTTTCAGAGAAAAAACATATCAAAAACGGAAATTTTTTATAATAACAATAAACTTGAAAAGAATATCAAAACTACATTGAATTGAATAATGAAAATCATAAAATAAAACAAAATAATCCAAAAGTGCCATAAAAAACCAAGTCTGTTTTATAGGAATTTTTCTAAAATCAATCAGAGGAGAAAACAATCAAAAAATTTTGTTCCCCATTAAATTCATAAAAATAAAACGCCAAATTTAACTCTTCAAAACCGTATCCCAAAGTCCTTTATTGGTGTCCTTTGTGTCTATGAAATTTGTCTCACACCTTTTGCGATTTGTGGCGGCGGCGGCGTGTGTCTGTCAAGTGCGACCAAAATCAGTGGCAAAACATAAAAATATCCTGTCATCAACAACAACTATTGAGAGATCCTCAAATATATAACAGCAAATCAAAGCCAGCATTGTGCACCAGGATAAAAGGATAACGCGCCAATACTACGACGACATTCACTCACCGAAACCATCAGTATTTTTAACTTGTTCAACGTTTGCAAAGTCTATAACGACGTTCTTGAGTTCATTGTGAAGGACCAAAAATAAACAAACAAACCAAAAAAAGCAAAATAAAAAAAACAACAAAATACACAAAATTTATAGCAACAGTCGCAACAACAACAAAATAATATTCGTAACAACCACCACGACGACGACGACAACCGGTATTTCCTCTAACGACGGCCTTACAACAAAAAAGGTAATCACGACGACAACAAAAACAACGTAGCAAAGGATTCTTCGTTGCAATATCGTCCTTACACCCCACCAAGAAGGTCGTTATTATTAAAGCGCGTGTGTGCGCGTGTATGTGTGCCCCATGTGTGTTAACTAACAGAGTAGCCATCATCACTGCCAAAAAAACGGGTGTCTCTTCGTTCGGTGTTCTCTTTTGATTGGCTTGTGAATTTGATTTTGATTGATGAATTTCGTGTATAAATACAAAAAAGTGCGTGCAAGAATTTTTATATCTTAATATTTGACAATAATTAAGTCATCTCTAAAATTTATTTTGAAAACATTTTTTTTCGTGCTAAACCAATTTTGGTAAACCTAAAAAAAATTAGACAAAAACATCAGAGACTGCCTGAATCCATTGGACAATACTTATCATTAACTGGTTATCAACAATAAAGTGAGTACCGATGATTTGTTTGTATTTTGAGTTAATTTTAAGAAACTTATTTCCAAAATATAAATAAGACAAGTCAAAAAGTATCAGTTGGATTTGCCGACAGATGCCAATATTTGATCATTCAAATTTATTTTGACTTCTGTTATGATTATTGAAATTGTCGAATCACCCAAGGAATTGGCTAATATTGTCCATTTCGTACTGGACATAAATAATTATGATATAAATATTACGAGGTTTCAGGTTTGGTCTATATCGGTTACTTCCCTCACTTTATATGAGATATGGGATAATTTTTAGAAAATGTTAAATGTGCGTAAATTCTAAAAGGTGCGTGAGTTACCAGATATAGTCGACCGAAGAATTCCAATTTAATACTTCATATAATACAGATAAAAATATTGGAATGGGCAAAATTACAAGAAAATCCAACTTTATGCTAAATAAATTCCATATTCATCTCAAGTTTCTGGTTGATACAAACATCGCTGACTTGTTTCGCAAGTTCTGACACATCAAAAGTATTGGAAATTGTGAGGTACAAGAAGGGGTTCACAAATATACAAGGTGAGATAAAAAAATTGTAACAATGTCAAACGCCATAATTTTTAATTTTTTTTTAAATTTTATTTAAATGTCGGAAATAGCATCAAATTTTAGAATAAGTTTAGATTTGTTCGAATTGGTCACCTTTGGCACGAATTATGGCCTTCAAACGCTGCCCGAATGGTGCTCTGCGATATGTTGGCCCATTCTCGGCGAAGCGCTTGCTTGAGGTGATCGACACTTTGGTATTTTTTAGTGTCAACCTTGCTTTCCACAATACTCCAGACACAATAGTCCAACGGATTGGAATCCGGAGATTTTAGTGGTCATTGTGCGCTGGAAATGGAGCCAGGAACCTCATTTTGTAACCATTCTTGGGTGGCGCGTGCTGAGTGCGATGGCGCTGAGTATTGTCGGAATGTCCAAGGTCTGCGGCCAAAATTTTTGTGTGCCCAATGCTTTAATACACCCTCCAGAACATTTTCGTGATATTATTCGGCATTTATTCTGATGCCACAGTTGATTAATACGAGAGGGGAGCGACCATCGGCTGTTATGGCGGCCCACATGGCCGGCGCTTGAGTTCTGGTGGCCAACCGAAGGTGCACATTTCCTTGTAAACAATATAATGAGCTTTCACTGGAATAATTTTAACAGCTGTCGGAATAGTGGGTTAGAAATGACAGCAGTCTGAAGTTGGTTGCAGTTTTTTCATCTCACCCTGTATATTATCATCACAACCGATGTTGCGTTAGCAAAAATGTTTGTATGTGTGACATTTGAAAAGAGTTGGATGCTTATTTCTTCGGCTGTCTTTGAGCGTTTTCACCCATACCAAAAGGAATGGTCCAATCTCTAACGCCTTTATAACAGATCCTGTGTTGATAGAAATATTCAGATGTGCCAAGTCTAAATGGAATCGGATGTTTTCCCCCGTTTTATAAACTTAATGATTATTCAAAATTTCGACCTTTTGTGGGGGAGGTACCAGAAGGAGTGGACCGATATATTCCATCTCAACACCAGACGTGGGGTTAATAAAATTATTGGGATGTGTTAAATTTGAAGATAATCGGACTCTTACATCACATTTCATAACAGTTATAATTATTAAAAAATTGACCATTTGTGTGGGAGGTACTTGATAGATTGGACCGATATTGTCCATTTTCGCAACTGACCTAGTACTGAAGCAAATATTTGCAAAGTTGGAAAAAATCGGAAATATATTTTTGTGACCATTTCGACCTTTTGTGGGGGAGGTACCAGAAGGAGTGGACCGATATATTTCATCTTAGCACCAGACCTTGGGTTAATAAAATTATTGGGAGCTGTGAAATTGAAAGTCAATCGGACACTTACATCACATTTTATAAGAGTTGTGGTAGGTATTTGATACAGTGGACCGATATTGTACATTTTCTCACCTGACCTAGCACTGACGTAAATATTAGGTTTTACAAAGTTGGATCAAAATCGGATTATCGTTGAAACGGATTTGGTCCAATAAAACTTAGGGTCTAAAACAGTTATTTCGACTAGGTACGTTTTGACCATATCAAATGATATATACCCTCTCTGAGGGTGTAATTAGCCATATGGCTGAGGGTATAACAATTGGTAGAGGAGGGGGGAGGGACATACCACCCCTATTAAGGTTAATTTGCAATGTAAACTTTGAAAACGCCGATGCACTTTTCTTCGTTTTTCAGCTCAAATTTCATAGATTTTGCCTCTAAATTTTGAAAAAAAAAATTGATTTTGTGGCCTAGTGTAAAGGTTGAAGAATTTTACGAATTGGAAACTGATTAATAAAATCCTAAAGCTAGAATCTTAAAATTGTGGGAGTTTTATAGGTTAAGAGCATTCATCATTCTTACTCAACTCCTAAACATCCTTCTAACACACATTCCGGGAACATATTCTTCCCACTTCATTATCCGCTGACCGGTGACTCTTCTAATTTAATAAGTTCAAGTCCATTGAAGAGGTGAAATTTCACAAGTAAAGTCAAATCGCTCAACAGATTGCATTGCCCTTAGGATGCAGTGGTATTTACTTACCTTTTTGTTGTCAGGACGACGACGACAACTAAGGATTATGTACACTCACACATACAAATGCAACAACAACAACAATGTGATGCTCTAAATACCACTTCTCCTTGTCAATATGCTATGAGGAGCTACATCTTTTCAAATTACTTAACAATGAAGGTATATGTATGTCTTCATGCAACTGGTGCAACCTACCCAGCCTCCTACTTCAAACTTTCTAAATGGAGAATAAATATATGAAAATTTAACTCCCATGTAGAAAAGGAACTCATTGTTGTAGGAGATGCGGGCAAAAAAAAAATGGCATGTCTGCATTTGATAGCGACAGTCGGAGGAAAAAGAATCTCAATCTAGGAATATAACAATGGAACTGGGAGGGAGTCATTCGAATAGAATGGAAATCTATTCCATTGTTTGTGGCAACAGGGAGAGTAGACATGAACAAATAATTTCATAAACTGGCTTAGCAATTAATGGGTCTTTTTCTCCATCTCCTACTTGCGGGTGGAGGTGACAGAGGGAAAAACAAACGTCTTTTGCATTCTAATTCTCGGTATATCTTTTCTAGGTTTCTAATACATTTTCCATTATTTCCAACAATGGCCGAGAAAATGAAAGCGAATAAAATATCCAACAACGGCAACGACATATGGAAATACAAAATGAGCAAAATAGGCTTAGAATTCGTGGGGGGTAGGTGCAATTCGTTGAGCAAATGGAACGGGGTGGGTAATTAGAATTTATGCGATTTCTTGCGATTTGCATATGAAAGGTACTAAGCTAAGGAGGAAATGAACAATTAAAACAAGTAAAAAAGCTGTAAGTTCGGCCGGGTCGAACTTTGAATACCCTCCACCATTTGGAACGAATTTAGCATTTCTTGAAAACCATAAAAGCCGTTAAAAATTCTATTAAAATCTTAAAAATACCGAATGTGGCTGTTACATTAGGATCTATACGACGACATGTACCTGCATAGGTAGCTTTTGTCATAAACCATTACAATATTCAAATGCGAAACTTTCCAAAAATCGGTAAATAATGCAGCTAAAATCATCAAAATACCGAATAACGGGAGGTAACGTTATATGGGGGCTATACGAGGACGTGGACCTGCACAGTCAATTTTCTGTCATAGGCTGTAGTATTCATTTCAAACTTCAAATACGAAATTTGAAACAATTCCGGTGAATAATGTCTCCAGCATCATCAAAAACCGAATATCGGGATGTACTATTGCATGGGAGCTATACCAAAACGTGGACCTACATGGCCTATTTTCAATATCAAAAGTTCTGCAGATATAATATACCCTTGAGTAAAATTTTATCAATCTACTTCATTTCGTTCGGAAGCTAGAGTGATTTCCACAGACGGACTGGCGGACGGACGGACGGACATCTCTAAATCGACATAGAATTTTATGCTGATCAAGAATATATACACTTTGTGGGGTCTAAAATGTATATTTCGAGGTGTTACCAACGGAATGACAAACTTAATATACCCTCCATACCATGGTGTAGGGTATAAAGACGAGTATTATTTTGGTCGAAAATTGCAGCCCTCAAGCAAGTCATCAAGGGGGTTTTTTGGAAATTTTTTTTTCGAAATATGATAGAAAAAACCTTTAAGCGAGAACATCGCCAGTCGAATTATTCCAAAAAATTATTTGACTTGAAATCCTACTATAGGTCCTAGAAGACATCAAAAATCTAAATCTTACCTAAAGGCTAGGAATCCATAATTATCAAAGAAGACGTTTTGGTGTTAAAACCGTACTTCGTGTGAGTTTAGGCAAAATTCTCCTAAAAGGCATTATTTTAGAACGTTGACATCAAAGACAAAAAAATCTTCATCAAATTTCATTATCAGTCGCCATTTAAAGGAAGAAATGGAAATTTCCTTTGCATTAAAAGAAAATGTACATGAGCCGTTTAAACCAGTTTTGCCTTCACAAATGTTCAAATAATTGTTGGAGTTTTATCGCATCCTGTATATAAAAATGCCTATATTTCCACTTAAATCTCTTGCAGATTTCCCAAAACCTTATTTCCTTTTAAATAAATTTAAACCACAAATTTCATAAAACAAAAAAGGTCAAAGAAATCATTCTTTGTCCATAAAAGTTAGAAGAAGATTCCCCCAGTCAATTGTTATGCCTACCTTCACGTTTTCCGGTTTAGAGCATTTGCTGTTGTATCTCTTTTGGCCGTTTCAGGCTTTTGGATTCCCTTGTGTTAGCCTTTTTTGGCACGGGTATGGAAAAATGAAACGAGGAAAAAAAACAGGCAAACATGTTCTGCACTTTTTTCTAATGCTGCCAAAGAAGTTGTGGCGATGGCACGTGCTTTGGCAGTTTATAACTATTTTTAGCATTGGACGTGTATTTTTAGG